TTTAGGGTTTAAGGTTTAGGGACCCTTATCAGGGCTACTACAGGATACTATAAGGGCTCTTTATGGGATCTTCTGCGGTTTCTATACTTGTTCCTATGGGCTCTCTGGGTCTCACCGGGCTCCTTAAGGTTGAAGACGCTAGGCCAGGTTTTGTGCGGTTTTATGATTTTCTTCGGAAGTTAACATGCGGTGTGTCTGGCGAGTTTAGGGTTCTGTCTGCCGGCTCAGTCATGCGCGGTTTTATTAGCAAGCAGCATTGGAAGTTGTCTATAGGTGAGGTCAAAGACGCCTCCTTGGCTATGAATGTCGCAGGGTGGGACACCCAAGAAACATCGGATGAAGGGGCCGGCGAAAGTCGCATCAGAATGCACTTTTACCAAGAACCGTAAAGCCTGAACTCAGGGCCCAGAACCCCAAAACCTTGACCCAAGACCCGACTTCTGACCCGAAGCCCGAAAAGCCGATTCACTGACCCCAAACCCTAAATCCCGAACCCGAAACCCTAAATCCCAAAACCCTAAACCCTAAACCCTAACCCTAAACCCTAAATCCCAAAACCCTAAACCCTAAACCCTAAATCCTAAAACCCTCCAGCCAAAAGTCTCCCAGCCTTGGTGGGTTCGTGGAGGTGGCCTTCAGGTACCGCTCCAGAGGCGCTGAGCGCACCGGAATCTCAGAGACCGGCTCAGGGTTAGGGACTGGGTTGGGGTTCGTGGAAGAGGGTTCTTGGTTCAGGTTTAGGGGTTTAGGGTTTAGGGCTTCGTTTCTGAAGTTTCGAGATGCTTTGGAACGCAAGTTCTGCTCAAGGACATGTGCTCTGCATTGGGCGCCATATTCCGCTACATGCTACATGCTTATGTTCTACTGCAACCTGGACTTGTGAAGTCCGTGGAACTCCACGGCAGATGTTTAGAGCTTGGAGCTCAGAGCGTGCGGCGGAGCGTTTTGATGAGTATTTCTGGGGGTTCGACTCCATGTCTGTTTCGTGCCTGTATGGAACGATGTGTCTGCAAGATTTGCACGGACCCTTGTGTGCGGCGGGAGGGCAAAGTAGTACAGATTGAGGCTACGAACGGACCCGTGGGCTCACTGAAAGCCGCTGAAGTGGCAGAAGGGCGTGGCTTTGCGAAAAGGTCCAGGCTGTGTGGCGAAGCACCAGAGTCATCTTCCAAACGCACCATCACTTAAACCATACAGCCCTAAACCCCACAAAACAACATAAATTAGTAATTCCGAGTTATTCCTCACAGAAACACTAATGTCGCACGGCCTGAGTCAGGCACCAATCCGCCATCCGTGGGCCGTCGCAGCAGCTTACCATCCTGGCAACTGGAATAACATGGGAGTCTACATTGACATAGCTGGGGTTCCTTTTGAGGTATGTGCTGACTCTCATCTGCCTGGTCGTAGGTCAGCGACCGAACGCACGCCATGGAGCGGCGCTCTCCTGTCCAGCAGAGGGGGCAGGAAGGGTCCCGGAAGTTGGGATCGAAGCTCTGCTGTCTCTGCTGGAACGCTTCCCTCGAGCATTGCCTACCAGCCAAACCTGTCCCACTACAAACAAAAAAAGGGAAACACTAACTAGGAGAATTCTCAGCCGAGCATCACCCCAAACCACGAGCCCTTTTCAGCCTTCCAGGTCCAGACGCTGCAGGGCCGCCGGCACCGTGTCGAAGAACAGAGCGGCAAAGAAGTCTTTCAGGGCCTGTGGCCCACCTGAGGGCTTTCGGTAGGGTTTAGGGCTGTTTAGGGTTTAGGGTTCAGGATTTAGGGTTTCGGGGTTTAGTAGGGTTTAGGGTTTGGGATTTAGGGTTTGGGGTTTACGAACTTGGGATTCGGAGTTGGGGTTTATGGGTAGCAAGGCTCTACTCCGCAAGGCACCGAACCATGGAAAAGCTCATGGTGAGCTTGCGGCTTAGGATATCAAACGACTGCATCCGAGCCTACGATGAAGTTACATGTGAACTGGAATCAATGGCTCCCTCCTCTCTCCTGACCGACGCCTGCACGCTTTTTGCAGGATTCCGGCTTACCTTGACCTGAAGATCTCAAACACAGAGTCCGAGACTCTTCCAATAAAACCTTCTCCGACGCCCTCCACTTCCAAAGCGAGATGCTCAACACGAAACCCCAAACCCCCAAACCCGAAATTTTAACTTGGGATGTTGGCTCAACTTTCAAGGCACCCGCTGCAGCATTCGTCGAAGGCACCAGGCAGCCCATTAGGAAGGGTACGAAGTCTGCCTGGATGAAGGTTGGGGATTGGTGGAGTCTTTGGGCTTGGGCATGTGGGCCTTAGCACTTCTGGTGAGCGGCCGGGACTCGGCTTCGGGATTGGGGTAGTTTTTTTTTAGGGTTTAGGGGTTTAGGGTTTAGGGTTTAGGGTTTAGGGGTTTAGGGGTTTAGGGTCATAGGGCTTAGGGGTACTGAATGCGCCAGAAGGCCTGGCTGTGCCGCACACGCGCACTACCTCAAAACACCCGTCTTTGCTGAGCATGCACACAGCATGGCCCAGGGCGTGCGTGCAGCTTATTTATACAGCTTCTCTCACGTATACCCTTCCGCTAGCATGCTCCAGACGATGACGATAATTAAACACAATACATGCTTGATTTCAATGGCGCAGACACCGTCTGCAGGATTGCGACGATGACTTTCAAGTCTGGAACCTGTTTTTTTAAATTGCGCTCCGAATCCGAAGTTGAGGGTAAGCTCAATACTCGGTTGGAAGGTTAGGGTTGCACGCAGGTTTATGGTTTCGACTTAAGGGCTCTGAAGATTTTCGAGTCTCACTGCAAAAATCCCAGGACACCCAAAGTGCCGGCCTTGACGTGACGCGAGTAGTAGAGAAGCTCTGCTGTCGCGCCGAAGTATGCCTGGCGGGACTCAGATCTGCTTGCTCAAACCCTGAACCTACTCATCAGTCTCAACACAGAGATCTGCAACAGAATCAGCGTCAACCCGAGCATCGACGCAGCAGATCCACCATGTGGACACCGACGCAGGTGCAAATCACATGACGCATCTGATTCCGAGCTGGCAAGCTGCCGAAAAACAGAGAAGGTTCCATCGCCCAAAGTACCCGAAGCATCGTTAAGTTATCAGCTTCTAAATTCGAAAACACCGAAAGACGTCAAGGAATCTGCGGCCTCCCACGAGGGCACCGGCTGCGGCCGGCGGCTCGCACGCCGCGCCTGAAGGGAGGCCATCGTTATTCCCTAACTTGTGGCAGGGATCGTACATGTACAATGAGATTGGCCATAGTGTGGGAATGTTGGTCGTTAGGCAGCAAGACGGGACAACAGCAGCGGTGCCACCATACACACCATGCCTTCCTCCGTGACACATAGCTCTTCCCTTCAACAAGAACGAAGAGCAGGGAACGGGCAACCGAAGCAAAGAGAACAGCAAATGGACAAGCTTTGACTGTCCTTCGCCAGGCCACGGCTCAAGCGGAGCCGCAGTGACTTCGAGCTGGTGCTAACCAGACAAGCGGCCGGACCCCCTGTGAGCTAAGAGCAAACCTCCGTGCCAATGCGAAGGACACGCCTTTCTGGCCTGCAACATCTGCAATGGCCCTCCAACCTCTAACCTCTTCAACACAATGCTGGGTCCCGTTTCATGATGACAGCATTGCATGGCGGCCTGCTTGGTCGCTGAAAAATCTGTTCGGCTGCTCAGCCCTCTCTCCCTGAACCCGCAACCTCTACGCCCTGCCAATCCACGGCCCGATGCTCAAGCAAGACAAGCGGGCCTTCCGCGATGGCACCCCGGCAACCTCCTCCTCCTGGCATACCGGCAGGAGGCGCAGGGTTCAGGGCAGAAATATGTGTGTGTGTGTGTTTATTATATATATATAGATATATTATAAACATGTCTGCCAATGTATGCATGTAGACAGAGACACAGAAACAGAGAGAGCGGGAGAGGGTGAAACAGAAACGCTCTCGAAACTTCGGAAGACCTCTACTAGAGTCCCACTTCACGGATCCTGCGCCGCCTTGGCACCCGTCTTTTCCAGCTCCACCAGCTCCGGATCCGGCGGAAGAGGCTTGGTGAGGAGAGCCTGTGAAGGAAGCCGTCCGGCTTTTGAGGGCGTTGGGATTTTGTAGGGTAGGGGGTCATGGGGATGGGATTCTATGCAGTTCCTTGCCATCGGTGCTGTATGAGTTTGGCGCTCTGGTCGGCTTTGTGGGGGTTGGGCGCGGAGACCTGCAAATCGGACAGATTCACATCTGCGTCTCTGCGCTGTAGACCAGAGCCGTAGAGCACGAAATGTGCTAAGAGCCTGCAGTCCCAAACCCGCACGAACTGCCGCAAGAACCCCACGCTCCAAACAGAAGCCAGGCCCTCAAATGAGCTCCCTGTTCGTGCCACTTCGTGCCTGGAAGGCATCCCGAAGATCTTCGTGGTCATCGTCACCTGTGCTTGAGGGTTTGGGCCCCATAGTAGTTCCTTTTTGGGGTTCATATTTAGAATCCTATAAGGTAATCCCAAAACGGAACTACTACAGTATTGGGGCTCTCAGGACATGCGCTTCTCTTCCACCATGGCTTGGAGATGGTCTTTCTCGGTACTACGGAGCCAAAGGTGTCGCTTGTACTTTCGAGCCACTCGGAGCCCTGACTCAAGAAAGGCGAGCCGCCCAACTCACGCGGGTCCATCGCATGCATCAAGCCGGGAATGGACTCCAGGCAGCGGCGGCGCAGGTAGTCCAAGTACGTGCCTCAAAGACGGGCTCAAAGCGATCTCCCAGGCTCAGGGTGGAGCCTTCAAGGACCACGGAGGTACGGTAGCTTTCGGACACAAGGTCGCAGCAGTTGCACAACACACACAGACACAAAACAAAAACAAAAACGTGCCACTACCGAAAGAACCATCATCAAGAGAACGCAAGTCACGGCGGAATGCCTTTCGACCCCTCCGCGAAGTGGCAGAGGGGGGCTTCAAAGGCTCGTGTACAGGGTTTGTTTTCGGGTTCTTGCTCATCCCCGCACCCCCGGCTCCGACACCTTCCTGAGCCTGAAGACCGGAATCTTAGAGGGATGCAGGCCTTGGCCATCATCGGGATCGCGTTCGTCCTCCAAGGAGCTCAGAAAAAGGCGTCGGGGTTTTGTGGGGATCTCGGACTCCCATGCACTTGAAGGCTTTGGGCTTATGTGGCGTCGTTTCTCCATCTTCCTTGTCGGCCTGATGAGCCTCTGGGCCGAAGATGTCTGCAATTCTAGGAATGCGGAGGGAGGGATGTTCTCAAGGGGTCACCGGCTTTAGGCAAAGACACCTCCTAATATAACGGACCCTGATGTGCCCCTGTGCCCAATGCGAAGAACCTACTAGGTCTTCGGCTGGGGTCGCATGGTGCAGGCCCAAACCCCGGCAAAAAGAAGATGCTAAAAAATACCCAACCCGAAACCCCAAGCCATGTCCAAACCAAGGAGAGCCCCCAGGCGCGGAGCCCTCCAGGGGTCCTCGGAATCCTCGTCAGAGTCCAGCTCAATCGAGCGGATGCAGCTATGGGGGATCGGAGCTGGGCCGCAGGAGGGCTCCTGAGGACTACGGTCTTCACCCAAGCGGGGGCTTTAAAGCTCCAGGCTTTTCGGGTTTGGGGGATCCTTGAAGTTGGAGTTTGGCAAGTATGCAAAAACACTGTATGTAGAAACTGCCAAGAACCATCAGTGCCATCTCCCAGACGAATTCAGTCTTCAACCTCTTCCCAGTTAAAGATAGCCTCGGCCTTCGGCGTGGCGATGGAACCGTCGAGTCTGAATACTGATGGTCCGTTTGGGAGAGGCAAGACGTATCTCAAACTCCGGGATTAGGATAGCACACCGCAGAGACAACAGCCGAAGCCGCTGAAGAGATTCCTGTCGGTCGGTTCCACAAGGCTCTAACCGTCTATCCCTTTTTGAAAGCCCAACCAAACACACACTCCTCCACGGGACCCGCCCCGAATCCACAGACGGCACCCTCGGAGCCCCTGGGCCTCGTGGAGCTCCACCTCTCTCGCGGGCACATGGGCCTGGACAGAAAGAAGCTGAGGCGAGGCGACGAAACGGCACACCCCCGGTGGGATGGCATGGGAAGTACTGAAAGGGGTTGTTGTGTGCTCTCCTTTATACCGACAGGCGACGAGACTTCCTTGGCTCGAGGTTCTAAGATCAGGTTGCTGGCAAGGTGAGGCTTCATGTTCCAAACACTCTAAACGGATTGGCGCACAGATTGGTTCTCTAGACTCTAGGCAATTAACCCGAACTCGAAACCCAAGCGCTTGAAGCCTGAAGAATGGGATTCATTCAGGGCCTTTGGGGATCTGTTTGTCCGAAGCTTGCAGCCCCAGAAGAGCTCTGGACCGGAGCAACCCTAAAACCCCCAAACCCTACAACCCTAACCCCTGCACCCAAATAAGAATGCCGATACTACCCTCAAACTTTCTCTTAAGAAAATTCAAGAAAAGAGCCCCCCGGGAAGCATCCTCCAGGACGACCTCCAGGCGACGGCCTCCAAAGGGAGCGGGCTCTTCAGGTACTTGCTCATAAAGTCCCATACCAGTCCCCGGTATAGAAGAGTCAAACATGACATCACTACATCCCCAACCCCCTTTCTAACTATAGGCTACTGAGGATTTCAGGATCCTGGACTTCGAGGGCCCGCCGGCCCCCTCGATTTTTGTAAGATGCCTCGAGACTGCCCTCAGCCCCAGGATGTCAGGCTTCCCGAGTCACGCCTCGCCTTCTTTCAGGCTGCCGGCTTGTCGCAGCAACCAATCATCGAAGAGCCTGGTCATGCGGTGTTAGGGCTACTTTCTGATGGCATCCGGTTGACACGCGTGAGGATTGCGTGTGCATCTGATCCGCTACGAGGAAGGGCCGCGCCTAACCCGTTCATCCACAGCTGGATGATGCACGTAGAGCATGCATACTCAACCGATGGACAAGTTATGCTACTGACGTCTGTGCTGGACATCGCTTCCAAAGGACATCCATGGCTAATACATGATGTCCATGCTTCCAGGGCATAAACACTTCCTTGATCAACCATCCATGACTAGGCATGGAGAGAAGATGCCCAATATGCCCACGACGATCACAAAGATGCGGATGAGGAGGTGATGTGGACGGTAATGATACTATGTTGAAGATGATGATGGCGACGACGGTGACGACGATGACGATGACGGCGACGTCGACAACGGCGACGACTGTGATCATGACGAGCACGAAACAAACTTCGACCTTTCTGAACTTGAAAAAACCTTGTTCGCGAGCGTGAGTAATGATTGATGTGGCCACGGCGATTCTGATCGGTAGAGTCGTTCAGCCTGACGAAGAAGGTTGATTTTCATGTTTCTGTTCCCTCGTATCACTGAACTCCGTCTCCGAGTAAAATCGAAAATTTCAGGAACCCTTGAGCCCTTGACTGGGTTCCTCTCCAGCTCATATAGAACGCGTCGTTACAGGGCAATGAATCGCTCGTTTGACAGAGCCTTTAGACTTTAGAACAACTCTTCAACCTTCAAACCAACACCTACGAACTAAAAACAAAGATCACTTACAGGAAACCTGACGGAAAAGCTCAGGCTAAGGGGAGATCCTTCTTTCAGCCGGGAAGCTCGAGGCCCTCCTTGAGCCTCACCTTCTTCCTCTCGGAGATGAGCGCATCCTCGGCCCGGATCCGGCTGTCCGGGTCGGGTGGGGTAACGAAATCTGCTGGGGTTTGGGATTTCGAGGCTTTTGGGTTCCGGGCTCGGGGGTGTAGGATGCGGGTTCTCGGGATGTTGGGATGCCTGGAGATGCGCTGGGCTCGAACGCTGCGTTGCAGTTGAAGCGAAGCGACCTCCAAAAACTCGGGGTTCGGATGGTTTAGGGTTTTGGGGGGCTTACAGTTTGGCTTGCGAGCTTGCGGCCCTTTGAGCCCTCACTGAGTTCTCAATGCCACATCCACCCGGCCCAAGCCCTTGCACTTGCAGCAGATCGGGCCAAGAGACGAGCTCTTTGGCCGGCACCTCCTCTCCGTTCAACCGCCGCTTGTTCAGCGCATCGGCCTCCGTTCGCAAAGCACGGGCACTCCGTGGGCGCGAGAAAGGGACATCAACGCATCAAGGCTCCTGGTTTAAGCTTGTTTAAACCCTAATGGTTCGTCCTTTGTGGCATTCCGGAGTTTGCGCAGAGGCCTCCTCGTCCAAGTCAGACCACTCAAAGACGTGGAGTTTCGATGGGTCGGCCTGATCGTCGGACAAAACGAACATGCCCGAAGTTCTCTGGGCACCACGGCAGTTTGGGTTCAAGCCCCCCGCTTTCCGGGCCTCGACCCCCCAGAACTCTGAAGTCAGGCTCTGGTTCATAAGACCCCAAACAGCCGCGCAAGCCAGAAACATTTTTCCCTCTGACAGAAGTCCCTCTAATCCCACATCCCTAAAACCCACAGCAGCAGCAGCAATAGAAGCAGTAGTAATGGGAGCAGCAGCGGCTGTGCGGCTCTTTGGCTGTTGCTGTTTGCTGCTGATGATGCTGATGTTCTTTCTGCCCTTTGCTGTTGTTGGCATCACTTGACCTGTGGCGCTAGTTACTAAAAGATGCTATGATATATCATAGTATACCACAATATACTATAATGTAAGATACTATAAGACACTACAAGAGATTAAGCCGGAAGCGCCCAAAAGCTCAGCTTCCAGCGGCTGGGCTGGGCTGCGGGCCCAGACGAGGGCTTCGGTGAGGCCTTCCGGAGGCTCCAAAATCCCGAGTTTGACGAGTTTACGGCTTTTTGTTTAAAGTGCAATGGCTCCTTTTCTTCCGCAAAAGAGTTTACGGTTTAGAGTTTAGGGTTTTTGTTGTTGAACGCCTTCTTCCGTCTGCTGGTGCAGTCAGAATCCCTCCAAGGGAAGGCGGCTTCAGCAACTTTCAGCACTCATCACCACGTTTAGGGCTTAGGGTTCAGGGGTTTAGAGTTTAGGGTTTAGGAGAAATTTTATGGGGAAAAGGCGATCCTAGTCCTTTGTACTGAGTAGTTGAAACTTGCAGACTTGGATTTAACTAACGGTTGAATCAGGGAAATATTGACTTAGCACTAGCCACGGGGCTTGTTCAGCACTCCGGACACCGGAAAATATTTGGGGGGGTTCAGCCACCCCGATCTCCCTGCCAGTTTGGTTAAACCGCCCTCGACGAGCAAACGCGACTGGAAAGAGGAGCGCAGCTCCAACTTCGTATCCACAAGATCTTGGCAAACTTGGCACATTACAAGGCTGAGGTCTGGAGATACACTGCGGAGGCGCATCACGGACCAACCTTATCATAGCCTTTTTGAGATTGCAGGTTGAGGCGTCTACCAGGCAAGTACTACCTTCTTCGGTGGTCAAAAGTTTGCCATGAAACCTTCTGTTGCCTTCCTGCTCGGCGAGACTGCGGCAGGGTTGAGAGTTTGGAGGGTTAAGGTTAAAGGGTTCAGGATTTAAGCCTGTGGATTCTGCTCCTTCTGTGTGGGATGAGAGAAAGCGATAAAATTCATGACACCGTGACGAGTTTGCTTCGGAGATTGGTCTCTGATCTGAGCAGCCGGCGCTATACCGTACTTGGAAAAATCAGAACAGACACATGTAGAACAATACTGCCTGCTGGTTCTGTCGAAGACATGGCTCACTACGTTACGTCCTGATACTGCTACACCTCGCACGCCCAAGCAGATGACAATATCTGCGCGAGCACGATTGGGCTGCCTAGCAAGCCAAGTACCTCCAAAAGGTTGAATCTCACCTTCCCTACAAGCGGCCTCAAAACACGAAGCCACAATGCGAAGCCTGGAATGCCTACGTACAAGCGCCTCAGGTGAGGGCTGTGCCGATGCCAGGGTTGGCTTGGCCGAAAGACGCGCGCCGTCCCGGCCGACTGGGGATCTTCCCCGGCCTGGTCGAGGCGTTCTGCTGATCCTCTTCAGGGCTTGTTTGTTGACCATAATTGAAAAATTGCTGTGAAAATCTCCAGAAAGCCATCAGGGAGCTGAGCTCTGCCTGGTAGACCAACTTCGCTCCGATGAGGTCGTCCTCTTCGCTGTCCTCGTGCTAGCCATGACTAGCATGGCCATGGTCGAAAAATACCGCCAATGTTCATACATACATAGTTGCACATACAACTGCACGATGGCTACTCAGGATCTCATGAACACTAGGATGACCATGCTTACCACGAATCCGTCGTTTGGCGTTCACAGGCATCTAGTGCTTCGAAAGAAAAGGATGATGAGCCGTGACGCAAAGACCGCGGTCGACGAAGGAAGTCAGCAGAAACCATATCAGAACCCAGCACAGCTACAGCATCTCAAACCAAAGCCCCACCCCAAAAACAGAAGCCTCCAACTTCAGACCCCAAACGCTCCAACCCTGAACTCCGGATCCTCAACGAGACACTGCCCTTGGAACCCCCGGTGGAGCCTCCGCCTCGTCGACCACCCGAGAGGCCCAGGCCTTTGCACCCTTCAGGGAACGACAGTCCTCAGCCCGAGACCGCCATTTTGCTTGTGTTTGCGTGGATCGGCTCTGCAGGTTGGAAGGCACGCTTAAGGTAGAGGGTTTTGGGGATTTGATGCTTTTAGGAAGGATTTGCGACGGCTAACATAGCCAGCGGCCTGATGGCCAGGATAATACCTCCTCCTATCCTTCTTGCTTCAATTGCTGGTGCTGTTGCCTGGCTGTCATTATTGACATGGTATGCCGCGATAAACGAGTGCAACAGGTCTAAGGGCTCAGAGTTCCGACCTGTGGTTGCGCAACTGAGAAGTGGGCGAAGAATGCAAAATCGGATTCCTGTAGAAACCCTCTTATGAAATGGGTCAGCTCCCAATTGTCAGGATACTGGTTATATGCAGCAATTGGCAACAACACCTTCGGACGCCGGCCTTCGTGGCCAAGGAGGAGCCGAAAGCACCAGCATCTATCAGCTTTCGCCAGCCCTTTGCAAGCGAAAAGGTTTGGGGCTGCACATCCTGAGGCATCTAGAGGCTAGAGTGCGTTGTTGCGAAGCTAGTGGCTCTGCAGGGGGACTTAAGTTGTGTCTGGAACAGCAAGCACAAATTCGAGTCAGATGGGGCCTGTGATTTTGCGGTTGCTATCGCTCGGGGCGCTGAGATTTACGGCTCGGGTTTTTCAAAGCAATATCTGCGAAAACTCTCGGCACGCCTTCAAAGCTCGCGAAGCCGCAAATCTGGAAACCTGACCGAAGCCAATCCAAAACATAAACGAAAGCGCATTCGGGCTCAGATCCCAGTAGAACTATGCCGCGATTCCTGGTGTGGCTTTACCACCGCTTGTGTTTTTGTTGCAAACATGACTACTCCCAGTATGGAGGGCATAGTGCGACTCTTGACTACCACGACTATTCAGAGTATTGCGGGCATGACGGATACTCCGACTACTACCATGACTCTGCTGCAGCACTGATGCCTATGAAGGCGATCGTGGTTATGGAGGCTATACGCCCCCAGCTTCTGCTCCTGCTACTGCTACTGCTGCACTACCAGCACCAGCACGACTGCAATGGCCACTATCAAGTTTGCTGCCTTTCGCACTAGTTCCTACGAGTCATTTGCACTAGTGCTAACTCTAAGTTGATAGGAACAATTACCGCTGTCACTATTACTGTCAGTTTGGATACAGCTATGATGGCTCCTGACTCTTGTCGTGATTCCCGCCTTCTCCGGCTCGATAATGCACGACTGCCGGGTGAGATCGAGCACATCCTCATGTGCCTGTGACATGAATGCGAGGTCTAGGGCCCCTCAGATATGGGGCTGGGGTTGCCGATGAGTCCCACAACAGAAATCATCGGAACCTCTTTGGATGCGAACGCTCTTCAATGCTTCAACTCCCGCCATTGTGTATCTCGGGCGGATGGGCTGGCTGCCTCCCCACAAACCACCAGCGCCACACGGCGATTCAGGAGCCGCCCACGTAGCGTGCCTGCTTTCTGGCCATCTGTGAAAGCTGAAACTCTGTAGAATCCGAAGTTCATTTTGAAGCCCAAGACCCTGGACTCTTGAACCGCTCATCCCGAAAACCACCAAACAGAGTGAGAAAGTGTTTGGCTCATTGCAGCTGTGGCGCGGATCCACTCCGGACCGCACACTTTCGCATATGCCTGCGAGGGGTTGGCTGATTTGGATTTGTATAGGGCCTTGGCCAAGTTTCGGAACTGATATCCACTACTTGTACGACGCTATGAAGTCAAATGAGAACATGTTACCTACGATGCCATGATGGCCGCATCAACCCGAACCTAAGACCGATGGGACTCTCATGAACAAGGAGCCTGGCTGTGTGCGTACTCGAGGCCCTTGGAGAAGCTCTTCAGCCGCTGAAGCCCACGCGGCCTCTGAAGCGTCAGGTCATAGGGTTGAGGGTTTAGGGTTTAGGATTTAGGGTTTAGGGTTTAGCGTTTAGGGTTTTGGGTTTAGGTTTTAGGGTTTAGGATTTGGGGTTTAGGGTTCAGGGTTACTCTTCGAACTGCACCGCCTCTCGGTGCAGATGCGGGACTGGTGAGGGACAATGCACGTCCCAGCTACACGACCATGACAACACTGCCAGGCTTGCTTCGACGACGGGCCTCTTCCCTGCCAGCATCGGCCTTTGCAGCTGCCTCTTCCGGGTCGGCGTCGAAGCCATGGCGGTTCAGCGAGCAAAGATGAATTATCCGCAGTGAATCTTCAGGGTTTGGGGCTCTTCCTGTTCTTGCGACTCACGGCTGGACCATTGGCCGTCCCTAATTCTCGTATCACAGCTGACTGCTGCACTTACTGCACGTTGCATGCGACCAGGTCCAAAAATCTAAAGGTTGGCTCAGCGGATAACGCGTGCTGAGGGCTCAGCTTTTGCCTCATCTTGGATTCGGCGTTAGCAAAGTTCAGGCATACTGTCCCCGGGTCTTGGAAAGAATGTCAAATTCGAGCATCATTCTCACAAATTCTACCAACTTGAAAAATACAAAGCTGCTTCTTCATAAACCAAGACTTCGGCTCGAGACTCGGCTGTGAGCTTCGGTAAATCGCCCGACCGACGTAGCCAAACACGCCACTCTTGCAGCACCCGGTATTGGATTGCATACGCCGTCCCGAACATGCTGATAGAGCTCTTTTGTCACTCTGCACGCACATGTGTGCGGTGGAGCCTGGAGGCGCAAAGGGCTTCACTTTGTCAAATCAGGTTGTGCACAGCAACTTTCAACGGAGCCTAGTCAAAAGAGACCACGACACCCTTCCATGCTCTGTGGAAAAGTGCTTGCAACACGAGTCGCGAAAGTCCCGCCCGAAACAAAAACGAATCCCCAGAAGCTGCTGTTGCACCAAGGAGCGTTGAATGGCCCAGACATCGCCGGCCCTCTAAAAAGCGGCTGACCACCAGAGGCGGCGCCCTCACTTTCCTCGGAGGGCAGCAATGGGCGCGTGCGGTGCGGCGAAAGTCTTCAAGTGTTACATCTACTGCAACGGGATCGTAAGGCTTCTCCAACCTGTCGCACTCCTTATCCGTAAACCCACGAACAGCCACCAACTGCTGCTGTGCCTGGTTCAAAGGTTTGAGCTCTGGCAGATCTCAGGCTTTCACAGTCTCTTAGCAAGGCGTCGAAATGCCCATCTGCCGGCAAGCGGCCATTCTGCCTCTGGATGTAGCAGGCGATGTGCATGAAGAAGGAGATGGGCAGCAGGAAGGACTCCACGATGTACGACACCTGAGCAGGCAGCACATCATGGGTGCCCGAAGCCCGGTCATCTCTAGGAGCAGGGCGTTGAAGAAGCCGCCAGCATCCACCTCGCATGTGAAGCTGTTGGGCAGGTGGCTTCCAAAGCTCGGAACAGCTACCAAGCACCGGGATAAGAGGATAAGAAGCTTTCGAGGTCTAAACCAAAAAACTCAACTGCCTTGGCCCACTGGGGGTCGTAGAAGTTGAACTGGAGGTTGCCATAGAGGCCTCGCTTCGACGGGACAGCATCAGAACAAAAGCGCTGAGCACTGCGCAGCTCAAACCCCGGAAAAGCTCCAAAACCCCAACCCCGTAGAGCATAACCTCCTGCATCCGTCCGCCAAGGGCTTAAGATCTCCACAGGTCTGAAGCCGTAAAGACCACCCGACCCCATGAGGCCCCCCCTTCTTTTTCGACCCTGCATGGTACAAGGCCTCCCTGAGAAAGGCCAAGGAAGGCCCTAAACAAAGGCCCCTGGCCGACTCCGAAGAAGAGCATGGACAGGAAGGCGAGCTCGTTGGAGCTGAAGGCCTTCAGGTTGCCGATGACCTGAGCCAAATCATGAGGGGGAGGAAGGGGTGGCGACTGCGATTGCTGCTCTCCGACATATCATAAGGGGATTGTCTATGAGAGGCCGCAGCCTAGCTCAATGGATGGCGGCCTTGGAACCCCAAAGCTGACCTTAAAGCCATAAAGCTTCTCCTCTGTGAGGCCCAGGCGTGGCTGGTGTACTTGCCCTCCTTGATCATCGGGGTGCCTGGGTAGTCCGGGAGCCATCCCTGCCTGGGCTGCGACGACTTCAAGATTGTTGGCTTCTTGTGTGCGTGTGTGAGTGTGCGTGTGTGTGAAAATCTTTGCCGGGGTGGAAGCGCGGCTTTGTCGGGTTTATGTCAAGGGTTGGATTGATTTCGCGTAGGGTAGTAGACGAAGGCATTAGGGCTTCCCGGCCTGAGCTCCTACTGTAGTCAAGGCATGGACCAAACCGAAGACAATGAAAGGGTGGCTCAGCGAGCCAATTGCTTGTGAAAGTCAACACTGGCTCCAGCATGAGCCTTCTGAGCAGGCAGGGCAGAAGGAAGAAGACCATCGGATGACTGAACCCTGCGTCAATCTAGAACGGTGAAGATTGACATTAGTATACGGATGATGACGATAATGACGATGATGATGGTGATGACGACGATGACGATGACGATCGTGCTGATGCTGATGCTGATGCTGATGCTGATGGTGCTGGTGCTGGTGCTGATGCTGATGCTGATGCTTATGCTGATGATGGCGATGATGACGATGATGATGATGATGATGATGATGACCTGCTTTCACGTGCGGCCGGCGTGCAGCTTGTCCGGGTGCCAGTACAGAGGCCCCTTCAGGTACTCAGACGTGTACTGCAGGTAGACCTGGAGCTCGTAGGCCATGCACTGGGGCACCGGCTTTCTCAAATCCAGCGACCGTTACTACTTACCAACACAGGTGGGTGTGACAAATGCAGCGGCTGCGAACAGTGACAACAGAAATCCACATCGGTTACTTCTGAACTTCTAGATACTTTACTCTGTACAGTTCGATTGAAGGAGTGATACCGTGTCAGGAGGATTGTTGCAAACTTCAGAAACGACGCTGGGCAAATAATCGATGACCACCATGACCATGACGACGATGCATGTAATGCATTATATGGTGTAGAACAGCATCGAGGCTGGCCTGCTCGAAGAGCCGCTCGTCGGCGACGGTCTCTACCTGCAGAACGCAGGTTCTGAACCAGAGTTCCAAGGGGCTTCTAAAACCTTCGGGCAGGGTCGGATTAGGCCGGTTTTGGAACTTCCGGAAAGAATCTCAAGAATCAGTTCGGGCGCGAGTTCCGGAGAAGCCCTGCGCCCGCTGGCAAAACCCAGTCCCTGGTATGCCTACCTACATGATCCCTGAGACCGGCTACAAGACCTGTGCAACTGCCCTGAGCTCTACCACAGATTGAATCGACCGATCTTGCTGAGGCCGCAGGCGTACTTCGACTTCTCTGCCGGCTTCGTCTCTGCTTGGCGTGCGGCACGGGCGCGGAAGGCCACTGCAAGCCCGGCATGGGCTCCGACGGCAAGGCCTGGAAGTCAGAAAAGAAAAGAAGTTCAGCACGGCCGCGCTTATTGTAGCGAATAACACCTGTACTTAAATTGTCTGTGTGATGGTTGTGATAGTCCACTCCCCGATGGTGATGAAATCGCTGAGTATGATACACCACCACGACACTTCGGCCTGCACCGTCATCCCAAACTCCTAGATCTTTAAAGGTTAAACCACTCCAGTTACCTGACTCCCCAAACCCTACACCCCCGAAGCCCAACCAAAAAGCCCTAAACCCCTGAAGCACTTGAGCCTGCCACTGCCAGTCCCCAACCAGCTGCCTGATTGATGACTGATTGAAGCTTTTTGGGGCTTTGGGCAGTTCAGGCTTTGCAGGTTGATGGTTTACTACTTTGCTACTACAACTGCCACATAAAGTATGAAGTGAGACTTGCGACAACTACCGCAACTGCTTCAATCAACAACAGCAACAACAACAAGAACAAGAACAAGAACAAGTTACTGCCGCCACCACCGACTACTCCTACTCCTACTCCGACTCAAACTCCTCCTTCAACTCTAACTCCAACTCCGACTCCTTCTCCTACCCCTGCTCCTACTCCTACCCTTGCTCCTACTCCTACTCCTCTCGCTGATGCTGCTACCACCACCACCACCAGCACCACCACTACACTGCTGCTGCGACGGCTGCTTGCTGCCAGCAGTACTGTGCTGTCATGTCTATTGTCTACTGCTCACCTGCAACGTGTTAATTGTCATCACGATTTCCTTTCGTGCCTTCGCACCGATGCTATTGTACTGTCATCGTGGCATGTTATGTAGCGAAATTTAGTACGGACAGCGCTACAAGAACTGTTGCCTTCTCCTTGCGTGGCATAACGGCTCGACATACTGCCCGAGAAGTAACAGTCTTGACAGCAATACCATCAGCTGTGTGATGATTTTAGCTCTTGCTAGTTTTACGGCTCCTACTACTCATACTGTGTGTCTACGACTACTTCCGATGCTGTAGACATACTGTCGGCTCTAAGCTGTAATGATTATGACAACTATTGCAGCTTATGCGTGAAAGCTTGCACCTTTGACAGCTACCAGACAGCTGCTGTTGCTGGCGCTACCAGTACCCTGGCTTTTCTGTTGAAGCCATTGATGGCTGCATCGCTCTTATCAATCGCTCCTGCCTTGCTTGCAACATTCCTCAACACTCTTCCCCATGTCAGTAGTTACGGCAATGATTCTTGCGATAAGTGATGCGATGGCTGCTACCACTGGTATCATCCTTGTGACATGCCACCGTTTTCCAAGCTGTAGTCTTCTTGATGCTCATGATGTCACGGCTTCGTGACTGCCATGCCTACCGTTGTGACAATTTGCCGACTTCTCTTTTCATGAATTAGTAAGGTTTCCGCTGTCTCCAGTAAGAAATGAATTCTGCTTCTACTACCTTGTGCCGACTGACTCGTTCCTCTCGGGCAGCAAAGTCTTCCAAAAGACCTCCAACACCCTCACAAAAAACTCAGCCCAAGCCGTCTGCACCTCAGCCGACGGTGCTGCGGCTGCCGCGGCCTTGGGAGCCGCAAGCGGCGCCGGGCGCGCGGTTGGCGCCACGAAGGCCTAGCTGCAACATTGCATGCTCGAGTTCATGGTTTGTGTGCTGGGCTTGGTTGTATTCCTCTTAGCTTTCCGCTTCGAAGACACTTGAGGGCTTTCGAACATTCAGGCCGAAGATTAGTTGGACCACACTGCACTGCACAAGCCTCCTGGAGTCTCTTGGGCTACATACCTTACTTGATCTTGAAAGGGTCTCGCAAGGCTAACATCAAGATCCGCACAGTCATCATTCTAGACCCATGCGAAGGCGATTCTCGAAGAGGAGGATAGCCGCAGGTTTCAGAGTCCTTGCACCGTAGTCCTCGTTTGCTCTGCTTGTATTGGACCCTCGGAGTGTGTATCATTAGATCCGTCTTTGCTGCGGTTCTTTCATTAGCTGCTCGTCCTCAGTTCTTTGTGTGTTCACCACGGAAGCGGGATCCTGGAATTCCCATCAACAGTTGAGGAGGGTATCTCAGCACTCATTTGGGCGGCCGGTGCCGGCGCCTTCTGACAAAGCAACCACGATAAGCGACATGAGGAGCCAAAGCATCAGACATGAGAAAGTGATGATTCAGAATTACTCCCGCCTCTCCCCAAACAACTCTCAGAACAGTACTCCTTGACGACCACAGCAAGGACGCCGGGATTGCTACAAAAAGTTGCGACCTCGTAGGCAACACTGGCCACGCAGAAGGCCGCCACGGCCGCAACGGCAGCCCTCAGGTGAGTCATGGCCTCCGTCGTTGGAAGGCATCATCCGAGCCCCTCTCTCTTCTAGAGGGGCCGATACTTTGTTAGAATGAGATTCCGCCATGGCTTATACCGGAAGTAGATTGCTATCGGATCAGCGCGGCTCGCATCGTATGCCTGAATCCGACGGCTCAGGGCCACCCCGTGCCATCCCCGACAACTTCCCCGCAGCCCAAGGCAAGAACCCACCTACAACCTGAAGCCAATCCCTAAGCCGGTGCAATCCGGTGCACCTCGCTGAAGGACGGCACTCACTTGGCTTCCTCTGGGCCAGACTCCGGCAGCACTTGCAGGCTCGGGTGGAAGGCTAAGAGCTGTGCTCCTGGCCTTTTCTGGCTCTCAGGGGCTTCGGAGAGGATGATGATGATGATGATGATGATGATGATGATGACGTTGCTGCCGGTGGCGGTGTCGGTTGTGGTGGTCGCGGTCGCGGTGATAGCGGCGGTAGTGGTCGCGCGAGGTGGTGGTAACGGTGGTGGGTAGGTGGTGGGGAGGTGATGGGGGTGGCGTTGGCATTCGCGCCGCAGTGGGGCTGCTGCTCCTGCCACTGGTGCAGGTGGTATCGGAGGATGCGCTAGTGGTGGTTCTGATTCCAACTACCATTGTAAAGTTGCTCTTGGATGAACCTGGCTATGTCGATGATCACCGGGTTTGGCCTGAGGATGTGGAGGATTCAATGCTCGAGGCCGGTTCGATTGCATGGACTCACAGTACCCAGAGCATAGGAAGTAGGCCAGCCATAGTTTGGGATTCAGGGTGTGGGCCTTCGAGCGGCTTCAAGAAATCATCATAATATAACAACTATGAGGGCTTCAAGTGAGACACTAGTGAGACGTCATCACTGGAGTTCAGGGCCAGGGCAGACAAGAGGCTTCAGTTGAAGCGGGCTAAGAACACAAAACTCCAGATGCCCAAACCGCTCAACCCCATCCCAAATCGAACAGTTTAAGCTGGGGCCCTTTTTGACCCGCAGCCCGGGGCTTGACCCAGTCGGACCTGCTGGCAGCCAGCAGCTACCTTCTGGGAGCTGCGGCCGACTAGATTTCGATTTGCCCAAACCGCAAATCTGCCATCCACGGACCAACCATCGAACCTTGAGCCCTGAGCCCTTCTTAGGTCGACACCGCTTCGAAAGGGACTCGTCCGTCTTACGAGAAAGACCCTGATATCGTCCCTTGTTAGGATGTGTAGGCCATGGCGTACTTGAGATTCACCGTCCCCCATCTTTGGAGGGACGAGGTCAAAGTCTCACGAGTCACGAGGTCATCACGTCGCGCATCGACACCTGCAAACTCAGAGAACGCGCTGCAGAAGAAGACGATGGCGGTGAGACTTAGGCCCACAGTGATCCTGTTGTCTGCACAACTACATAATAATACCAGTAACTAGTAATTATAAGCATGCCGAATCGACCTAGCTTCGAACAAGCAAGATCGTCAATCAACAAAAGTTTGGCCCAACAGCAGACTTCCAGAATCGGTCATCCCCACCAAACTTGCTGCACGGTAAAGCCGTCAAGACCCCAAAGAACGGCCTGCGCGCCGGGCTGCGGGGAGGTGCATCGCGAACCGCGGGGCCTCGAGCTGTGGCCGTGCGCTTCACACGAGTTGCATGCTGGCCAAACGCTCTCAATGTCGCTTTAAGTAAGATGTAGTTCAGGATCCCCTACTTCTGGAAGATCTGTTAGTGTGACAGATTTGCTTAGGCTAGGAAGTCCACACCTTCCGTGTGTGTCGCAGCGTCGGAGGTGCATTCAGCAGTCAGCTTGGAAATGTAAGGCTATCGTGGTAGCAGAGGTACCAAACTAAAAGCACCCGAAGCCTTTCGACCGACCCTCTGCACAAAACGTTGATCTCTCGAACCGCAACCCAAGCTCCTCCGAGCCCCACGCGTGTCCCCGAAGGCATTGATGGGGTTCTGCTTGCAGAACTCGCTCAGTGCATCGGGATCTTGGAGCGGCGCGGTGCCTCAGAAGTGTTCTAGTGGTGACCCCACTGAGCCACTGCGTGTAACTGGTCTTCCAGGGAGCATCTGCTGCTGCCTGCTCACCCCACCACTACCACGACTGGAGCGCCCGAGTTCGATGCAGATGGCTTCGGGGAGAGCCCGAGCGGTGACCGTGCGGGGACCGCCCTGGCAGACCCGGCAAGGCGCCAGCGAAACGTGCTTGTTTCGGATGATTTCTCTCTGCTGACATGGTTGGGGGGAAACGTCTTTGGTATCGGGAACAAAACTCCCTTCCCTCGGACTCGTAACAAAAAAATCACCACAGCACCCTCTCACCACAAGGTCTGCTTCCCTCTGTGTGGCCTAATTTTGAAAGCATGACACTGCTGAGCTTTCTAGTCTAGGATCTCTGGATTGGTTGGGATTGGCTGTGCCGCAGTCCTCCTCCAGATCGAAGGGGATGGCCTCCCATGGCAGAGAGGTCCTAGAAACCCAGCCTAGCCGAGGGCGAATAAATTCGTGACAGGGTCGTTCTGAGTGCTCCTCGGCTTCCCGATGCCTTTCAACTTATTGCGTTACTGATTTTCAGGAGCACTCGCACCCCGAATTTAGGGCAACGTCCACGGCAGCGGGCAGGTGAAGCGCGAAGACCCCTCAGCATCGGCATCTTCAATCGAAAGCACCCTTTTCAAGACAAACCCATTCAGCCCAACCGCACACTGCCAGTCCATGCCTGGAAGCTTGAAGGACTTTCGCCCGCCCTGAGGCAGTCAGTCGAGGTGGGGGCACTCCAACATCTTGCCAGCATGACCTCTAAAACTGCACTAAACTCAACCCCCACACAAGGCAACAGGCCCAGATGGACAACGGCACTCCAGCATCCTTGGCTGGGCTCGATATACCCAGAGACTCCAATACCCCTTAATTAAGGAATATACCTTAAATCATACTAAGGATCCTACTATACTTTAAGGTATATTCCTTAATTAAGGGATATTGGAGTCTCTGGGTTCCCGATATTTCCCACATCCCCCCTGGGCGACGCACCCGGAGTTCGCCCGGGCAGCCCGCTCCTGGTCCCGCTCCTCTCGGAGTGCAGATTTCGAAACGTCACAAGTGCTTTCCTTTCACAACTATTGGAAGTTCCAGACCTCTAAGACTGGGATATCGCAGGGTTTCTTACTATTGTTATTCTTGTTTTTAGTATCATTCTAAGCGTCATTCTTCGTGGATCGTTCTTCGTACGACACCCCAAACCCTAAATAACCCTAAATAACCCTAAATAATCCTAAATGACCCTAAGACCCCAAAAACCCTAAAAACCCTAAGAACCCTAAAAACCCTAAAAACCCTAAATACCCGAAATACCCTAAATACCCGAAACCCTAAACTCCCTCCCTTTTTTCTCGGTCCTTCTTCGTGATGGGCTCCAGGATGGAGACGAAGCCGACCTCCGGGTCCGGAAGCGAGGCCTTGGGCTCTCGGGGCTTCAGGGGGTTCTAGGGGTTTAGGGTTTAGGGTTTAGGGTTGAGGGTTTAGGGTTTAGGGTTTAGGATTTATGGTTTAAGGGT